TATTAATATTCTCCAAAAACAAATGTGTCGTGAAGCATGCTCATGTTTCTTCATATGAACCTTTGTCCTTTGTATTTGGATAGGGTCTGTGTTTACAAAAGAACATCATATATATGCAGTATATATAATCGCGTCTAAGTTTACAACTGCCCTCTCCTTTACAACCGCCGTTTCCTTCATGAAACTACTGATATACATATAGTTAATTAACAATAATTAATGTTCTCCTTGTGTGAAAATGTGTTTAGCAAAGTCTTTGTTCACATATGAAAATATGGTTCTTGCCAGTTCTTGCCCATGTCTTTCCTTCCCAAGCCTCCTTGTTTGAAAGGTTTTCTGTGTCAAAGGTCTCCTCTGTTGAGTATATATGGGTTTGTCTTGGGCAAAACCAATTAGAAGTGATATATTCAAGCATATGCAGCGCCCCCGAATCCTAGCCTGCAACGTTACGTTACCTGATCGAATTTCTCATACGTGTTGGGCCCAGTGAAGTCCATATACTTGAAGCATATTGAGGGATTTCATTTACTTGCAGTGATTCTGCACCTACTCCGCTGGGTAGATTCTATAAATTAGATCCAACCGTGTGCAGTGAGTCTGCACCTAGGCCTTAATCACTGGATGTGTTTGAATTTATCAGGCTGCTCGATATTGACTTTTACTCGTGCAGTTATTGAATTGTTTGCCCTTGTTCTGTTTTTTGTTGAGCTTCTGACATAGCAATGCACGTGAATAGTGAGCAAACAAATGCCAAAAAAAGATATGGTATCCCTTCCCAAGCCAAATTGAAAGAGCCTCTGAATACTCATCGAAACTTATTGAAACGCACTGCAAACACTTGTACCAATGAACTATTTAAGAAATATATATATGATGTACAGCATGTGTATTGCTATGTTGTAATAATCAATATTATCTATATATGTGTATAACAGGCTGATGTCTGTTTGGTAGGGGGAACCGCATACATTGAAATTGTACAGTATATATTCATGATGAAGCTTCTTGTCTAAGTGCTTCACAAGGCATCTGGCGGTGGTTTCAGTTTGTGTACCTGGCTGGCACTGAATCGTGCAAAACTGCAAAGGAGCGCAAACCAATAAGCCCGCGGCAGCATTAAAATCTAGCCAATCCTCCTGGCCATACCGGCTGTGCTCAAAATGCTGCATGAGCCTACAAACCAAACCATACTTGTGAAAAATGAAAATGGCCTCCAAAGCATCCTCCTGTCAATTTCATTCTGCGAGGCAAAGCACACTGTGCACCTTTCATCGCATGCATTTCAATAAAACATGCCAGTTCTTCCGTGCGGTTGCCTCTCGCCCACTGGGCTCGGAAAAGCACTCGCCATGGTTGAGAAAAATCACCAAAGATTGCCTAGTCATGGTTGGGTGGCCATTATCAACACCGGTATGTGACCAATCAATAGTCATAAACAAACACCTGTATTATAAATCTGCTTGCCCCAAGCATCAAAGGCAAACTCTCATCTTGTTTGCATCATCTACTACAGCCACCCTTACATGGTTTTTGCCAAGAAACAATAGCTGGCACCGTCAATAGATTCCTATCATGAAAGCTGTTCACTGAAGACATCCCACTCATCACAAATGAAGGACTCTAGAAAAACATTGACATGGCCCTGGGTCCAGGATGCGACTACACTATCAATAGCAATATGGCAATGTGACTGTTTTACTTGTCCAATCAAGCTGGCATGGGGACGTCATGCACTGGCGTGGCACTTCAGTCCAATAAAACAAGTGCGAACAGTTCAGCTCAGCATCGTTTGGTGGAATGCAAGTTTTGAGGAGTGTCACATGTTCGGAGACATCTCCCTGCTCCTGAGGGGATGGGGTGCTTTATGCTTGGCGTTGAACCCTGAGAATCTTCAGCGGATTTCTTAAGCAGAACTCCGTTGTTCGGTTTCTGCACTCGCTCAAGACCTATCTTTATTCTTTGAAGTTCCTTATGTGGGTTTGTTTGTAATGTCCTAGTGACAATCCCTGAATTGTACATGAATCACATGAAGTTGCTAACTCGCGGGGGTTGCAGCACAGGGTTTTGTTTGCTTGTGTGGCTCACTCTAACTCACTCTAGCTCCTCTAGGCCTCTAGGCAAGCATGCAAAAGATTGATTTTTCTTACTCCTTGGACGTCGGCGTATGCTGCTGTAATCTTCCAGCGACTTGCCACACAGAGCTACAATTACAATATATGTGTACAAACCTGATGGAAGAGCTGAGTCCATGATAATTTGCTTCGTTCCAGGTGTCCTTCTCAAGTTTAAAAACGACCTGAATTTTGTGACGAAAAAGGCACTGCACTGCGGCACTGCACTTATGATAAACATTCTAAAAAGCTTTGGCACTGTCACAGCTCCTTACTAAAAAGTCACGGTGTCAGTTCGTTAGTCACCCACTGGCTCTGCGGAAGATGTTCTGTATTTCTACCAAAAGTCAGAAAGGAAAAGGAAGGAGATGATGTGAAAAACAACGTTGATAGTTTGTTGGAAAAGAATACTAGCGCGAACCTAAGCAGGCACGGATCTTTCGCGGATGATTTGGACAGCATTCAGAAGGCCGCCTGCTATAAAACCCCTTACACGCCTCTTGTCAAGGTATATATAGTATATAGTTGTATTTATATATGAATCTGGACCTATCATCTAGAATGTACCCATTGACAAAAGCTATTTTTCCAAAATAGGCTTTGCAGTGACTAATCAATACCCATGAATAAAGCTATCTGTCCAGAGTGTTTCTTTTCCTGGATCACCCCAGAACTGCGAGGGATTTGCATGGGTTCCCGATAAGTTCTTGGATATTGAGAAGGACGTTGAATCAAATCCCATGTGGATTTGATGCATGTGGATTCCCTTTCACCAATTCACAATCCCAAACCAAAAAGAATCCTGATTCCTGTGCCAATACTCTTTTAAAACTGCTTCTGGGGCTGGTTTTGGGCCGAGGCTTACCTTTATCGTTCCATGATGTGGGGAGGTGCCCTTTTCTATTATATAACTATGTGTCGACATTATGTCATACAAATTATACAGAGCCTCCCGTCGTTGAGCCAGTCTCGGCCATGTTGTGGAGAAGTAGACCTGTTAAGCTGGAAGCAGCCGCAACAAGCAGGTTTCAGTCGAGGTTTTGCTCAAATATATTGGATGGACCACAAGCTTGCCTGCCAGAGTGTATCTTCCAACTCCAGCAATCGCCACGCGCGGCACCTCACGAACAAAATAACGGAGGTTCAACGTTCAAAAAACTTTGCACCTCAGGGCCATGCAACAAGGAGTATGCCACCAGTTCTGACCAAAGTAGAAAGCTTGCAACGCCTAATCGGACCTTGCGAAGCTCTGTCCGGCAGTCATCTCAGGTCGGTGTGCCTGAGTTGTCGTGCCTCCAGTGGCCACCGTACCAACTCCCCATGAGCCTGGCACCATTCGCAGTCACTTCTTGGATCTGCACTGCATCATTCATCAGCTTTCTACTCCCTACGCGTCTCCCATTCACACTCCAACCTGGTAGGCTTCAACTTCACTCCCTGCGCTCCCATACTTGTGATCACAAAGACTGTTTTCCAAGGCCCGCAAAAAATCCTGCAGTTGTCCCAGACAGGTGCAGCTTGAGACACGGTAACAAAGGAAGGCTTTCGAATAAATCGCAAAAATTGAGCTAGTCCTCATTATCCTCTTCTTCCTCTGAATCTTCAAAGCCCCTTAGCAAACAAGCAAAGCCACAAAATGTCAGAGGCTGTCTACCCTTGGCCTTAGTCCAAGGCTGATCCATTTGAAGTTTGGATAGTCATGGTCGTTGTCGAGGTTTCAACAACCTTGTTTGCAACCCGCAAAATGATTGACAATTCCCTAGGGTGCGGCCCGAATGTCTACACCCGCCTTGATTGCTACGCAGTTTGCACGAGGCATATATCAAAGCCGGACAAATTTCATCAGTTGCGGCGTATGCCGATGAAATTTGTTAGGAATTTCCGGCATAAAGTGTTTGGCATTGCATACCATGGTAACCTTTCCTTTGCCACCTGCCATCTATTGTACTTTTGTATGGTTTTGTGGGCGGCCAATTGTCGTGCTTGTGGTGATGTGCCCCAATCATCATCGAGACTTGTTGTCGGGCAATTGTTGTCGGGACTGCAAAATCTTCGTGGCAAGTTGTGAAACTCTTCCATCTGCGGTGATTTATGGTACTGTTCTGATAGGCGGATCTCTGGTGTAGTGTGTTCTGTAGAGTATGATGGTGATTGGTGGTGACTTGTAGGAATACACTGTGATGATTGGTGGTTGTTTCTAGTGATCTGTTGTGATGGCGATCTAGACTCTCTAAACTCTAGACGGCCTCTGCTCAAACTGCACATCCAATGATGGAAGCCTCTCAAGTGCTAAGCCACACCACATACTGGTACATGTTTCTCATGAACCTATGCGAGAACCTAACCTGCACTGGCATCAAATCTCTCCATGTGTGTTGTGCACGATGATGCAAAGAGACATGCAACTAAGTAGATTGAACTCTATAAGCAACTGACTACACAGGGGATTGCCATGCAGCGAAGGATGCAAATAGAGCATGTCAGGAAAAATGCACGTCAAACGCCGAGCATAAAATGTTTGCTCTATGCACTTTGCCAACAGTATGCAATGTTCCTTTCTTGACCTGAGCCTTGGACGAGCTCACTAGCTTCAGCTTAATTGCATGGGCAAAGAAGCATTGAGCCAGATCAGCAAGGACTAGCGGCTAAACCTTTCACAGAGACCAACTCGACTAGCGATTAGTTGCGTTGGCTCAAGGGTTCACAAATATGCGCCAATGCCACTGACAGCGAGCAAGACTTTTAGTGTCCCAACGACTGTACAGTACATAAATACACCAGGCATCAACCTGGGCAAACAGTATTGACAGTCAATAATGTCAACAACATTAAAGAGACATGCATCTCGGCCGACAATCGTTGGTTGTGCTGAAGACAGTTCTAAATTATAAACAGGTCATCACTGCTTTGCCACTCCCTGGCTTGCAATTCTCTGCAAGACAAACCCCACACATTGCTTCACACCAAAGTTCAACAAACTCGTGTCTGGTGAAGCAGTAAAGAGAGGAGGCCAACGAGTCCAAAGCACAGGACTCCGAGGAATTTCAATCCGTATCTGGTCCTCCATTGATCTGTACAAACCAAGGGTCTGCCCTGGTCCAGCTGCTCTTCATTTCCAATCCCTCAGAATAGGAATACGCCTGGATTCAATGCGCCTGCCATCATAATTGATTGAACTGCTTGTCATCAAGAGTGCAAGTGCTGCTGATTATGCCAAAAGATTCAAGATCGTGCTCATGCAGATGGAGGCGCAGGCGCGAATTTTCCTCCAATTTGCACAGCAAGCTTAGGGGCAGCACTCAAAGGTGTAGAAAATAACCTCTTCCTTCCCCCCACATCGAGTGTTTGCTGAGACTCTTCTCTTCAGACGGTTTGGTCCACTAAGAGCGGCCAGAAGAGCAGCCTGGCTGAATGAAGTTCATGATTGAAGTCTCATGCAGGGCAAGTCAGTGCTTCACTCTGACTCACTAACATCGAAGTGGACAATTGGCCCCCGGAAAACCATTTTGCTCTACAAAGAGATGGCTTTCCACTTCCATGCTAGTGAGTCGGAGAGTATCCTTCCAGCCTTTCGTCTTGAAGCCAGCGTCTGCAAACCTTCAGAGCAAACGACCTAAGTGTCTATCAAGGTCTTCAAAAAAGAGCAGGACCACCTGTCTGGAAGGAGACAATTCCCTAAATTGCACTGAAGCCGACCTCAAAGAACAGCATTCGATTGTCCGCAGGATCGGCCAAAAGATAGCGTGTTATCGCTGGAATGGTCATCTCATCGGCGAGCAGTAAGGAGCCTTCATTGAGGAAGCCTCCATCCACGCAAAGACGTCTCATACCTCCACAAAAGCGGCAGATTGGGTGGCAAAATAAATTGCAAGGCTGCCAAGTTCTGCATGAAAATCACAAATGTTTGGTTTGGCAAGACTTGGTTTAAGGCTTAAGTTTAAGGCAGTCACCGATCAGCTCCACACCCTGGAAGTCATCCTTTATCTGTGCAGCTGATCGCAACTGATCAGCAGGTACGTTGAACTGCCTTGAAATGCGCGCACCAATCAATGATGTCGTGCACAACTCACTCATTCACACCAAAAATCCTAAGCCCTCAACTTTGTTAGAAAACTCATTGTTTTCTCACAACGTGCTTTTGCCAAAGGCTCCTTTCGCATCAACAGCATCAACAGTGGCTGCCACTGACTCTACGCTCTACACTATCAAGTGTGATGACTGCGATGACTATGACGGACCCCCACAAAGGGATGGATATGTGTTCCGTAATTGTTTTTCAATGTTTTTCATATTTTTCCGGTAATTTTTTCACATTTTTCCCCTACTGTTCTTGCTTTTGCTTCTGCTGGGAGTGCTTTACAAGCACTAGGAGCAGCAGAAAGGGCAGGGGACGAAGCACCAAAGCCAGCGTGACAGTGACAAAGGGAGGGACTTCTTTGCGGTTGTCTTTAGCTTCACTGGCTTCGGGTTTCTTTGGGCTCGGTTTCTTGTCTTTAGGATTTCTTTAGGCGTTCTTCCGGAAAAGACATCCCACTTAACGAAGGAGAAGTAGGAGGAGAGAGGAACTATAATAGGGACTTTTCTGCGGTTGTCTTTGGGCTTCAGTGGTTTCGGGTTTCTTTGGGCTAAGCAAAGTAGAAATCCACCTTTGTGGCAGCGTCAACGCAAAGAAAATAGTAGTTGTGGTAACTGTGGTAAGACTCGTAGCGGGGTGGTCCGAGTGATAGAGGTATTGGAAATAGTAGGGGTGGTGGACGGTAGTGGCAACTATACAGAAAAACGGGAGGGGGTGCGGGGGAGGGCGCAGCGTCTCCCCCACAATGCAAATCAAATATATACAGCGCTGGGCTGCTTCGTTTCTTGATTGGTGTAATTGGGTGTCAAAGCTCAAGGTGAAGGTCTTATCATCCAACTTTGTGGCAGTGTCAATGCAAAGAAGATACAGTAGTCAGCAGAAGCAAAAGCAGAAGCAAAAGCAAAGGCAGAAGCAAAAAGCAAAAGCAGAAGGAAAAGCAAAAAGCAAAAGCAAAAAGCAAAAGCAAATGCAGAAGCAAAGGCCAAACGCAAAAAGCAAAAGCAGAAGCAAAAAGCAAAAACAGAAGCAAAAACAAAAACAAAAAGCAAAAACAGTAGGGGGAAAACGCGAAAAACAAAAAAAAACGGAAAACACTTGAAAAAAATCCCGGAAAACCAGGGGTTCCCCCACAAAGTCCTGCTGGCGCCAGGACACTTCTCCTCTTTGGGAGCAGCCACGCACTTCTAAGAGACAAGTGCCTGGAGCAATATCACCCCGTTAAACATCATGAATCTGTTGAGAAGTACTTCTGAACCATTTTGGAACTGAATGGATTCCTGAATAGGCCTATGCAGCCTATTCTTTGATCTTGTTCGCAACACAGTCTGGTTGGAGGCCTCGTGGATTCCCGCGAAGCCAGCTAGCTGCGGCAAGCAAAGCACTCTGCCTTCCATCAGTCTGAATTCTGAAAAATTGGAAATTGAACAAGACTCTTGCAAGACTGAGAAGGAGTGAGTTGCCTGTCAAATGCGAGCTCTTCTACTTCCTGTCCTCCACAAAACATTGACACCACTGGCAACACAAGCACAGCAATCGAGGCTTCATGGTCCTTTGTACGCACGGCCAACTGAGGCCGAACCCCGAGCAAACCAAATGTGGTCTGAAAAAGCCGGAGGTGCTACAATTGGTGCTGTAGAAGTAGAGGTGCTTCCTGGCATGACAAATCGACCGTGCCATCGTGATTTCCAGGCTCATATGCAATGGATTTGTTGGGTCCACAGCCCTCATGCATCAAAGAGCACTGTGATCATTGCGCATGTTGGAACTTCAGTGTGAACTTCAGTGTTTTTCTCAGGAACAAATGGCGGAGGGCGCTCCCTAATTCTGGCAACGCCATACTTGATACAGTATATATGTAGCCAGCGGCTAGCTTTAGCATGCTGCTAGCCTCCGCTCATAAGCTGCTTTAAGCTGCTTCCCAAGGTCGATTTGGAGCGGTCGTTTACGGTGTTGATCGACTTTTGCAACGCTCAGGCAAAAATTAAACCAGCATAGACCCAGATAGCTAGGCAGAATCCCACGACCTGTTGACATGCGACTGGCTGGAACAAGAATGTACGCAGCCTGCTCAGCCAGCTTACGGCACCTCCACAGCGCGCACAACCAGCTGACACCAGCACCGCTGCACTTTGCCAGCTGACAACACCGGCAGCGGCACCAGCACCCGACCAGCGCCGCCGCCCGCCTTAAACGCGCGCTCAGCCAGCTCACAGCGCCAGCACCCAGGACCACAACACCAGCACCAGCACCGACACCGTTTCGAAAGCGCGCGCAGCCAGCTCATTCTTATTTGCAGTAAGAACCCCATAGCTATCCCTACATGGGGTATAACAACGTATGATCTTGCGCGCAAGTGTCATTGGCCCAAGGCCAAGCAGTATCCAGCGCCACTATTGATTTTGTGGCGCGCTTGAAGCAACGATCTGTAGAACGATAAGGCCGTACCTGCCGTACCCGGCACCGGCACCCTGTCTCCACCACGCGCGCAGCCAGCTCACAGCACCAGCACCAGCACCGGCGCCCTGTCTCCACAGCACCAGCACCAGCACCGGCACCCGGCACCCAGCACCGGCACCATGTCTCCACCACGCGCACAGCCAGCTCACAGCACCAGCACCAGCACCGGCACCTGGTCTCCACCGGCGCACAGCCAGCACAGCACCGGCACCAGCACCCTATCTCCACTACGCGCACAGCCAGCTCACAGCACCAGCACCAGCACCGGCACCCAGCACCGGCACCGTGTCTCCACCACGTGCACACCCAGCTCAAAGCACCACCACCAGCACCAGCGCCGGCAACCTGTCTCGAAAGCGCGCGCAGGCAGCTCATTGTTGTTTGAAGTAAGAACCCCAGAGCTTCGCTATCTGGGGAATAAACATTACGGTGCTTTTAGCAATTATTGAGTGAACATGTCACTGCTAGCAACATGCTTAAAGCTGCTTAAATACCGGTGTTTGGGGCAGCAAACTTGTAAGAAACGCTGCAAAAACAATGGTTGCAAACAGTATCAAACAGTCGCGTCCACCATTGCCGTTTGGCTTGCCGAGGTTCAGAAAGTCGCTCTAGGTTGTGTTCCGACGGTTGAAAGAATTGTGAAACCACCACCTGTACGATGGTTTTTGGCATCTAAAAATAGAAGAAGAGGCCTAACAAAAACATGTGCTATGATGCTCTATGATGATATCTATGATTCTATGATGTCTTATCTGACCAAAGGTCTGGGAAGGATATATATATATATATTTTTGCTTGATACAGTGAGAAAGATCAAATGCCAAGTAGTTTTCCTAACTCGAATTTTGCAAAACACACACCGACAACAGAATCAACAACCCTTATGGCATCACCGGTTTGCGAAGCTCTACAATAAACCTCCCCACCAGTCTACACGCTTTCCCCCTGCTACTTGTCAGATTGGAGCGTATCCAATGGCCAAGCCAGCGATCTATGAACAATCAAGGATAATCAAGGTATATTATCAAGGTAGTCCAGAGACCAAAGCGGTTTTCACTGTTTTCACTGGTTGGACTTTGGCATGCTTTGGCTATGCCTACCTTTTAGCTTGACTTTGTCTTTGGCTTGGATTAGTTTTGGCTTGAAGACACGGCGCAAGACGTTCGTTGTGACTGCGACACAGCAATGAACCAGCGAAGATATGCGGCACAAACAAGAACCTGTGCAAGACTCTTGCAGAGACTACATATCCCGATACATCATGAGATAGGGAAACTCGAGTATATAATGTTTCTCATAAGCCTCGTATTACTACATGAGCGGCATTCAAAGGTATAGTCATTGAACTTTGTCGTAAGGATTTGCTTACGCGTGCACTCACGAAATGCTTATGCGCCTCAGGTTTCAGCCTCAGCTTACCTTTTTGGAGCTTACGCGAGCAGCTGAAAGAGAATCTGGATCATGCCACAGCGGCAGCCTACCCGCCACCTACACCGTTACGCAACATGTTTATTTCTCATAAATGCGCTTACGCAAGCTTACGCGATCCTGTGTTCTGTTTGGCTTATGCATGGCTGCCCTATGACACAACATGTTCATCTTGAGACTATCAAGGCTCTGACCGATTCTGACCATTGCTCCATGTGCTGTCACTGGTTGCAGAAACATTTTCTCCATGTTGCCTCCTGGTCCTGCTTTGCCTCCTGCTTTGTCTGATTTGTCTTTGTGCACGACTTTGGCACTCCAGCCTTAGGGAGACGAATCTTGCCCTTTCTAGTACTGCTGGCGGGACCCCCAAAAAAAACGGTTCTGTTTTTTTTCTGCCCTGCACTGCAGGAAGACATGGAAATTGTAAAAACACCCTGGCAATCCCTGCCATCCGCCGCTCTCAATGTCGGGACTGATGGTTGTGAATGAATAACGGATACAAACGACGACCACACAACGAGCACTCGTAGAGAGCGATAACTCTAAAACAGTCCGCTCCTAGCTTGAAGAAACAATTGCTGTTGTTCGCTTTCACACTTGTATGTTGAAAGGATTGTTATGGGACGTTATGGGATGTTATGAGTTTGTTTATGTTTGTTTTTGTTGCCTTCGCACAAACAAATCCAACGATATATATATATATATCAAGTCAGCTCTTTCTAGGACGACGAGGTCCTCGGAACAATGGACAATAGAGAAAAACACTATTCTCATTGGGTACGTATGTGTTTGCTGATCTCACGATGTCTCCAGTAAGTTTGATTATATCTGTTCATGACTTTTAAGTTGAGATTCAATGGAGCAAACCAGTTCGGATTCATTATGACCTGGGCGTCCTCCTATGGCTTGGTTGGCCTGTAGACTTCAGTGTTTGTCCGTTTTATCACCGCGCTGCTGCACAGGTGCATCATACGATTGTAAACCATCGGTGTCAAACATACAGTACTGGGCAGTTGAGTTGGCATCGTTTCCGGGCTGAAGCAAGTCGAGCTTCCACTTCTGCTCATGTACAGTATATAATTGAATCGTGTACAGGGGCCACCTCTGAATCGAACTGAATCTTGCAATAATATTTGCAAGGATGTTTTGCTCCAAGCTGCTACACTCGGAATCAGGTGTGCAAGCTGATCGAGGCCTTGTGCCGACCAAGCATGTTCCATCATGTCAACAGAAGTTTCAATGAGTCTTCAAAGACACAATAGCAGCTCAACAATGCACCTGCGTGAATGGCGCCGCAGAATTGATGCTGCCAGGCCTGCTAATCAATGAAGAGAGTTATATCTGTTGCGATTCGATTATGAACTAATAAAAAGGTTTTTTGCCGTAGCTGCAACTAACAAATTTAACAGCGGCTAGCAGCGCAGTTGACTCGAACTGTTCAAACACTTCAACTACGCGTCGCTAAAGCTCCAAGGCGGCCCCAATCCCTTTGTGAATTGCAAACGGAGTTGGGGGGGGAGGGACTGGAAAGCAAAAACGGAAGCAGGGATTAGGGTCCAAGAGCTGGGGAGCAGGCAGGAGGAAAGCTCATCAGAACTACAAAAAAATGTCCTTCCCAACACAAAGGCGTCACCTGCCGCACTATTGGTCCTACTAAGTACTACTGCATGGAAGGAATTGTAGCAAGAACCAGAAACACACCACAAACGCAACAGCACGGAAACGTTCTGCTAAGTATGTGCAACTGCCTGTCGCCTTGCTCGTGTTTGCGCCGCGTAGACTGAATGCTGTGCGACAGAGCCACAAGACAACGACAGGTGTATATGTTGTTTGCCGATGCAGAAGCACCCTGCTAAGTACACACAAATGGCTGTGGCATTGCTGCGCATAGGATCCTTTTACGGCGCGTAGAAACAAGGCTTCGAAACAAGGGCAGAAAGCACACCACAAGCGCAAAAGCTGTTGAAACGCAAAAACGTCCTGCTAGGTACACGCAACTGCATGTGGCATAGCTGTTCCTAAAACATCCGTACGGATTGGAAACCGTACCCTGCTTTGCATGTTCTCATGTTCTCGTGAAAAGCGGCCGTTTCGCAACACCTGAAGTTGATAGTCTTTTTTGGTCAGTAGCTCTCCACAGTCAGGCTCCGATCGCACATCTTTTTGACAGATGCCAGTGTCGAGCAATTCAGCGGCGGCGCAAAGCGGCGCCGGTCTTCTTCAGCAAGTCGGAACCTTGTGTCCAACGCCAATGCCGCATACGCACGTAGCAGCGGAGCCAATCGCTCAAAGCTCCGGAGCGAAATGAGCTTTAGCCACATGTCTGTTTTTTTGTTCAAGTTCATCCGGCCAGACTGTGTGTGTGACTGGGTGTTTGTGCCAAATGTTATGTTGTTGTACACATATACTTTCAGACCTGGCCTTCTCGGTCGCGTGAAGACACGCGATGAGGTACAGCTGCTTTCAGCAGGAGCCACATCGAGTCCACGTAGCCCGTGCAAGGAACGTCTGGAGCCACGGCGCAGATTGAATGCAAAAAGTCCGGTCGCGTGGTTGCACTGATAATTCTTGGGCCATGCTGCCGGGCGAGCTTTGGATACAGTTGAGCTGCAGGCTCCTAGATGAGCAACCAATCCTCCACTGAAAAACACACGTCGACAAGGATCTGATGCCGCCGCGGAGGTGTCACAAAAGCACGCCGAGAGGACTGCGGTCGAGAACGAGAGGATGCCCGTAAACTCCGTAAACGTAAGCGGCCACGCAAAGGCAAAGGTGCATCCGACATGGAGCTACGCAACAAACGCCAACTCAAAACCAAAAGAAAAGGAGTCAGTTTCTGTTTTTTCGACAACGAAAACCTCAACCGCACATTGCACCACAGTGTGAACAACGAAAAACGAGTTTCTAACACCTGATCCCAGTTTACCCAGCAACGGTCTGAATCCAAAACTGTTTCGTGAACAAAAGCAAGAATGGGGTCAGAACAAACACGAGTTAACGTACTGGTCTAAAGAAAAAGGGTTGACGCACCACAAAGGAAGAAGACGCAAAAAACGAGGAGGGCAGCGAACACTCGACAACCGAAACAACAAAACTAAAGCGCACACCGTGGCTACTTCTTGGGCCTTCATGCTCACGCAAAGTATGTGAACACAAGAACGAAATGACACTCGAACCTCCCCCCCCCCCCCCCCCCCCCCCCCTAACCCCAACAACATGTGAAGACATCACCCAGCGTCGTGGAATCCAAAAATGTCCAAAAATGTCTCAAAAGTGGGTCCGGTTTTTCAGTCCCTAGGCTAAAACATGTTGCGTTCGAATGGAGGCAGGAGCATGCCACAAGCACAAAAGCTGTTGTCAGCGCAGACATGTCCTGCAACTGCCTGCACCCTTGCTGTACGTACAATGTGTTTTGCGCTGCGTAGAAAAACTGCTTCGTAGCAGCGGAAAAAAGCTCACTACTGTTACTTACTAGGCGCAAAAGCTGCTGCCGGTGCAGAAACGTCCTGCTAGATACACCAAACTGCCTCGTGCTACACAACGACTATAAAGTTTTATAGTGTAGAATGAGGCCCACCACAATGAAAGACTGCCTGTGGCATCGTGGCACATCTAACTTTTTCATTGCAGCGTAAAAGGGATGCTCCACAACAGAGCGCAATACATGATTGCGCTGATTAGAATGACGGCTTCGTAGCGGCGACAAATGGCACACTACATGCCTACATGCGAACAAGCTGTCGCGGTTGCAGAAACGTCATGCTAAGTACACGCACGCAGGTACCTTCCTGCTAGGTACGCACAACTGCCTGTAGCCTTGCTGCCCATACAATATGTTTTGCGGCGCTGCGATTCGCCCAGGGTTCCAAGGTTCCAGGGTGGCACCTGACAGGGTTCCGAGCAAGGGCTCCAACGTGGGCGCCGGTGACAAAATTTTGTACCACTCCCAGCCCCAGAGAATGAAACCCAACATTTTGCTGTTGGGAGTGTTGTGTGTGTACAAAAACAAAAAATATATATATATAACATGTATATATATACACATACTATACTGTTTTTGATCCTCTGCTCTACTTGGTTTGCGGCCATTTTCAAAGACAAACCAGGTCGAGCCTCAAGCCCGCACAAACTGCAAGATCTAAAGCGCAAACAAACCAACGCCAGCCAGGCTCCACGGTGGGACACTGGGAAACTAAGCACTGCTACAAAAATCATAGTCTTACAATATCTCCGTTGTGTGTGTTTCTCTGCCCCCCCCCCGAACGCAGCACAAAAGGATGAAATTCCGGTTCCAAACAGCACCCAGGGTTCCAGGATGGAATTCCGGCTTTCAACTCCCAGCCCCAGAGATTGAAACCCGACTGCATTCTGCTGTTGGGAAAAATACTGCGAGAGTCTCTGCGCACCAGTGCAGCAAATGTGTGCATGAGGACCTTTGTCAAAATCTATTCAAGAGTTGGCATGTCCTTGTCTTGTAGGGTGCAGAGTGATGCTGACAATTGATGCGGTTTGAGGCATGTTGAGGCTCATGCCAACATGCAAGTTATCTTGATGTTCCAAGCTAAGTTTACTGCAGCATATTGTTTTGAAGCTTAGCGACTTGCGGGCCTGAAAGCAATCAAGAAAAAAATCAGATCTCATGCACGCATTCTACACGCAAGTTCTTTCAGGATGGTCAAGCTGTGAATCCAATTTATATAAGTTCCTCCACTTCAAAGCAGATCAAAGTCATGACGGGCACTGCCTGATGGAAATCTCTGGCAGCTCCTGGGCCTGCAGAAAAGGTCAGATTTGGCCAATTTTGAACAAGTCACTTCGAGTTCTGTCAGGTTCTACAAGTATCTTACATCTGCACCTGCCATTTGCAGCATCAAATATTCTTCGCTTCTCAGGGTCCCTCAAAGTGTCGTAGGCTTGCCGCAAGTCCTCACACGTCATAAGAACATCAAGCAACCCTTGGACCGTCCATTGGAATTTGCCCTGGGAGCGATGGCTTCGCTCCACAGTGAAAGCCTTGAGAACTTGCATATAGGCCCAGTGAAGCCCTTGGTTCTGATGATCTCCTACTTTTGAGGCCTTGTAGAGTCTTTCAATTTTTGAAAGTGGTTCGCAGTCGAAACGTAGTGGAAATGACAGGGGCAACCTTGCCTTGAAAAGCTGCTCTGCCACATCCCTCTCCTGACAATTGGCGCATCCCACACCACATCGAGAGTTGTCCCTTTGGGGGCATGTAGTGAAGACAATGAAAACGATGTCTTTACGCTGTTGTGTGCTACAATGCCTTCTTGCAAATCCTGGCCACACAAGGCCTGGGGGCCTACTACACGTTGGGCAACTTACTTTTCCCATCTTTTTCAAAGCAGGTTCTGTCTTAATTACCAATGGCCACAAGGCTTGCAGTATAATATACGCTGACAAAGAAGTGCGTGGTCAGGCCTGCATCCTGTGTTTTTTCTACTTTGGTCGCAACATTGTGTTCAACTGGCAGGTTTCTTGCACGGCGTTAGTGCTTCCATGTGTTTCCCGGTGTGTGCAAAGATGATTAATTCAAGTTGCTGATTTGGTTTGACCCTACTGTAGCTCTGTAGCTGTCCTTCACGTCTGCAGAGTTGGTAACTGTAAAGAATAACGGTTCACTGTAAAGAATTATTAAGTCTTAAGTGTTAAATAAGCTCAGCTAAGCTATATAAGCATCTTAAAAGCACGAGGGGCAGGTCATGCTCCGCTAGGTTTCAGATGAAGGGCGCCATGCGTTACTCATGCGAATCCCGGACCACACCTCCACCTCCGCACCCCTCCAGACCCCTCCTCTGGTGGGCGCTTGTCTGGGTGGCATTGCAAGGCCAGCGCGCGGTAGGCTCGCTTGACATCCTCCTGAGCAGCACCCACCTGAAGATTCAGATTGGCCAATATCGCCGCATCCTTGTAAAGAAGCAAAAGAAAAGGTATATACTTCACTTTATGTTCCACAAACTCTTTCGTCAAGCTTTCAGGTGGAACCCAAGAGGCCAAACAGAATTTGAGTCTCGGTTCTTGGAGTTCTCATTTCAGCCTAAACCGACTGCATTCTAGATGACTACCAGCACGATAGTTCGTTTACATGATGTTTTTTGAAATATAATTATGCGAGCGCTCATGCCAAATCAATATTATCATGCAACACTGAATGCATTCCTCTTCTGTGCATTGCAACTTTGTTGGAGGGCCATGAACAAGCGAGATTGATCTTGTATTAGAAAAGGAGTTGGATACTGCGCCTGCAACTCATTTCAGCAAGTACCAAAACCCTTTGTTGGAAAGGGCATCCTCCTGCAGTGGGATTCTTCACTTCAGTAGTCGATCTCCTTTCTGTCCGGTGGTGAGATGTGGTGGATAATATCTGTAAATAATGGATGGAATAAAAAGAGCAAAGAATGATAATAAAATTAACAGACTAACATATAAAGAGAATGATATTTTAAAAAATGACATGAAATCTATTGACCGAGCACCATCACTATCTTTAATATTGGAACTAGAAAATCCCTGGTTAACAATAAATTTCATAAAGAATAAAAGCATGAAAACAAGAGAATGAAAATAAGTACAGGCAATAAAATAACCATGACATCTCAAATAAAAAATACCAATGATACCAATGTAGGATTCACTTGTATAGAAAGCTTTACCAAAATAGAATAAGATATAAATTAAAATGGCGTAAAGAATATAATAAAAAAGAATGATTCCATAAGCCATATCATCTAGCATCTGTCTTTTATAGTTAATGGTCATAAAAGAAAATGAATGACCAATAGAAAGACAATGATGATGAAATCTCATATTAAAATAAATAGACCAAAGATTTCATCATCCACATATAATCAATAAGAAGATACCAGAGCAAAAATAACAAAGACCAACATTATTTTTGCTCCTGGGAACCATTATTTTTACAGTCATAAGGCTTTTATCAGCCAATATTTGTTATGAGATTTAATATGAAAAATAAACGAGGGAATGAATGAAATGAATGAATCCCACCTTTAAAATTAGAGATAGAAGTTGAATGAACATGAAATGAAAGGATATTTTCGTATAGGGAATTTCAATGACTTGGGTGTCTTACCTTCAAAATTAAATAGAAGATGAGCGAAAGACAATTGTCCATGAACGTCCATCCCAAATCCATTGTGAGGGTCGAGAGAAGTGCCCAGTGCTTAGGAAGGCATGCTGCGCCGCACCTGAACGCCCAAAACAAGGTACGGATTTGGAGCCATGGCCTGCATACTGGCCAAGTTGTCCAGCAACATGGAAAAGCCAAAGACAAACAGCTGGCTCTGGACAAAGGGGCAGTAAAAAACGATCTGGTATGATCTCCAAGCCTTCTCTCCGAGCCTCCTCTCTCATCTGGTGTGCACCATGTGCAACGTGAGGCAGGTGAAACCAGACTTCCCACCAAAATACACCAAGGGATCGATGGCTGCTGGAAGTTCAAAGAACGGCACAACTGCTGTTAAGCATGTTCAAGCGCATGGCAGCTCTGTGACTGTGTCTGTGTGAAACTATGTTGCGGTCTTCGCAACTTTTGAGCCAAGTTCAGAAAAGAAAAGGTGTTGGGACGATTGAAGGTTGGGTGGACTTTATATTATAATCCTGAAGCAGCTTCAAAATCCGACCTCTTTTTGGTTGACTCTGCCTCGGTCGCCATGGGCACTATGGTGCGCTGCAAACAAACAAATACACTGCACGGATGCAATCATCGGGCCTCGTGTCCATCGTAGGTTTCGTCTGAGATGAGACTACATACTAATGCTAAATTCCTTGCATGTGTTGTGTTGGGCTTAAGAAATATGACAAGGATGACTTTGCGCTTCAAGAGCTGTTTGCTGATTTTTCTGAACACAGTCGTGCTGACACTAAACTCTCAGGAACGCATGGATACGCATGGTATATCACATGACGAACAACCTGGCCCTTCTTTCCTTGTTTATGATCTCTTTAGGCGGCTCTTTGCTGCAAATGTATGGACACTCTGTCTCGGACAATCTTGTGAGCTCAGTAAGTCAAATGTGCCAAAGCTGCTGGAAGTGGAAGTGCTCGGCGAAATGGCGTGACGGGGGGGGCAGCCCTCCTGAACCAACAAAGTTGCTATACTTGTATACAACGATAGCAAAATGATGTTTCAGTTCCACAGCACAATTCTGTTTCACGCCCTTTTACACTGAGGGCAAACGGTACCGGGCAATGTGCACATCCATGTGTTAATGGCAGTTGCTCATGGTAGCGACACGCTCGTAGCGGCTTAAATGGTTCCGTTCACGTTCCTTTCGCACTGGGCACGGTGTGACCAGTGGAACTGCCCGGATAAGGGCATGTGGGAGTCATTCCAACTTCAGCCGAAAAGGGTGATAGCATTCCGGTTTTTGCAGCTATGTGCAAAAAAAACAAAACATTCAACATGAACAGTTTTTGGAGCAGGTCGGTGTGGCTGTGCCTATGGAAAGGGAGCCCTCCAATACTGTGTTCGCATGTGTTCGCACTTTTCAGCGAACCCCCTCGTGAATAGTTTGCGAAGAGTCTTCAAGTCAACTCTCAATAGGAACTATATAAAATATGTATATATATATGTATGATTTAAACAGTTATAAACAATCCAGAGGCTTTAGATCCAGTCTCAGACTCTAGACTCTACCAAAGATCACGAAGGTAAATTTGCCCACCGTGGCACGAAGTCATGAAGTATGACCAATGACTTGACTCTTGCGCAAACTGGTGACATTGTGCAAAAATGTGCAAACACTTGTCTTGGTGCCATCCTCTTTGGTTGCTTGCGAATGAGTGCAAATTCACCACTGCAGAGTTAGGTTTTAGATGGTTTTAGCCTGCGCGTAATGGAGGCCTTGCGCTTCGAACTTTGAAGTGTTCAAGAGGATTTAAAGACTGAACGTGTCAGGGGGGTCCTTCATGCGAATGGAACGTGTTTCACTAGTCACTAGCCAACGTCCTCCGGCAACATAACCCATTTCATCATATTTCATTGTATGTCCAATGGTTTGGACCAGAAATTGACATGTGGTTTCGAAAGCTTGCTTTGTATACCATATGATGGAGCTGCAGGCTCAGAAGTGAAAAGGGAAGGGAAAAGGGAAGGGAAAGGAAAAGAGAAGGGAAAAGGGAAGGGAAAAGGGAAAGGAAAGGAGAAGGGAAAGGAAGGGAAGGGAAAAGGGAAAGGAAAAGAGAAGGGAAAGGGAAGGGAAAAGGGAAATGAAAAGGGAAAAGGGAAATGAAAAGGGAAAAGGGAAGGGACGTGGGAAAGGAAACGGGAATTGAAAAGGGAATGGAAAAGGGACGTGCAAAAGGGAATGGAAAAGGGCAAGGAAAATGGAAAGGAAAGGAAAACAGGAAGGGGAAGGGGAAGGGAAAAGGTAAGGGAAAAGGGAATGGAAAAGGGACGGGAATAGGGAAGGGGAAAGGGAAAGGGAAAGGGAAAAGGAAGGGAAAGGGAAGGGAAGGGAAGGGGAAGGGGAAGGGGAAGGGGAAGGGGAAGGGGAAGGGGGAAGGGGAAGGAAAAGGGGAAGGGGAAGGGGAAGGGGAAGGGAAGGGAAGGGAAGGGGAAGGGAAAGGAAATGGAAAGGAACGGGAAAGGGAAAGGGAAAGGGAAAGGGAAGGGAGGGAGACCAGTCAGGCGTTCCAGCTACTACGCAAGCGTCGAAGAACGCTGCGGGGCCGGGTCCTGGGTATTGCATCCAGGGAAGCCACCGACCCCCACGGGTCTTGAGCGGGCTTGGGCCACTGCGGCGGCCACCTCGTGACATTAAGCCTACTCCAGTCCGCTCTGGACACCTTGTGGCTCGAAGGCTGCCTGCTCAGTTTCATTTACCTCGTCACGGAAAGCAAGCGCTCTTCGGGCTCACCCTGGGCTGGCACGAGGCCGGACACACTGGAGATATTGCGCACGGGCCAGAGTATAGGGTGGAGGCCATCGCAGCAAGATTGGGCCCGCGCTACAAGGTTGGAGGCCAGCAAAGCAAGACTGAGGGGGCTCGGGAACACCCTGGGCTCTCACTAAGGAGAGAAACGCTTAGGAAACGCGTACTGAACTGAATGCAACATGCCACACGGCGGCCTAGCCAACCATATTCCTAAGAGCGCAGGCGCAAAGAAACCTGAAAAGGAAAAAGAGTGGAGCCCAACCAAATCACTCTGTACCCTCCATGAGGCCTCCTAAGCCCTCCAAGTTCCGCTTCCCCTCCAGCGATTTAGCTTCGTTGGACAAGGTTCATCGCTGGAGGCCTTGCCCCCCGGCTAATCTACAGCTAAAAATTACTTAAGTCACAGGACACGAATCAACGGATTCCCTGTCATTCCAAGGGTTTCACGCGCACACACTTGAGAAGGTTGCTCCGTGGAGCGCGATTTCAGGCTGCTTCGCGGTGTGCATTAGCCCTTTAGATGAATACTTAGCCCTTGACTTGACGAAACGAAATGAAGTGCAAAGTCCGCTCAATTGAATGTTTCAACAAAATGCATTAGCTCTTTAGAATATGTTAAACAATTGGTGCAGGTACAGGAAACTGGCCAAGTTTCCCTTCCCGCTCTTATCCACAGCTTCGTTGCGTGTGATAGGATAAGAGTGTCACACGCCCCTGCTTCTGTACAATGGTCACGAAAGTCCTAGGAAAAGTTAGTAAGAGCTAGTGTAGTGTCCTTGGAAACAGGAGTGGACACACACAAAGAGCCGAATCGGCGCAACTAAATCGGATCAGAAAATACCTGAAGTGTAAATAATGGAAGACCAAGACGTCGAAAAAGGAATTGTAAAGTAAGGTACTATGACTCTGCTGGCGCATCGTCTTTTTCTCGTGGCCGCAGCGCCGCGGCACAGTGTTCCTTTGAATGACCTTTTGGCATATAGAGCTGCATCAACTGCTGTGCTGTGGTAGGTGCGAGCTGCTGTGGAAATGTGTATTTTCGTAGTGTGTGGTGTCGTGACTGTAAGCCTGCAAGCCTGAAAGGCGTAGTCTGTGACTCCCCGCTGACTGCGGAACATGAATCTGCCAGGGATGTGTGGGGAGTTGAAAGGTGACCGTTCTGGTGAGTGGATCAATCAGGCAACCGAGTAAATGGTCGTCGTCCCCTGGCTCTATTTCGACTGGGTGTACATAAAATCGGGATGGGCCAGTGTAGTGATGGGGGCGCTGATCTGTATTGTTCGTTCAGCAAGATACAGCGGGTGTCAACGGAGCGTGTGTTGAGCAAGTGAAGGCTGGGTTGGTGGAAAAAGGTGTGGTATGTGGTTTGCCAGGTATGTACGATGAGTGTGATTGCTACGTGGCAGAGTGCTGGTGAAAGTTGACTGCCAATGCCTGCTCCTTGGCTTTGCTTGTAGTGAGTGTTGCAGGCTTGAAAAATGCATGATTGAAGGGCTTGTTGTACTATCAGGGGGATGTGTTGAGTGTCGAGTGTGCGTTGTTGTGGGTGGTGGATGTAGCGTCGACCGTTGTGGGTGTTGAATGGGAGTGCCGGTGGATTGTATGTCAAGACTGATGGAAAAGATCGCGTGGGTCTTGTCAATGTAGGGTGTGAAGTGGACAAAGTGTAAAAATGCTGTGTGAAGTGTGGTCAAGAATTGTAAAGTGAGATGTGAGATGTGTTGGGTGATGCAGCGCTTGTTGAGCGAGTCAGGCGGCTAATGCCGAACCCGCTGCCACCAGCTGCTGTAGTGAACGTGGTGGTAGCTTAAGCACACGGGTGAGCGGGATGCCATAGCGTGTGGCTGCCTCCTGGAGCTGTTCTTTGGTGATGCGTTCATCTCGAAGAATTTGCTGGATATTGGTGACTTGTGTCTGAGTGGCTGGTGGTAGTGTCTTGAGCCATTTTTGAATGCCTGCTGCCGCGTAGTTGGCTGGTGAGTTGTCTTGTAGTGTTTGAGTGGTGGGGTTGAGAATGGCGTTAGCTGTGAGTGCGGCTGGGGCTGTAAGTGGGAGATGGGGTTGGGAAGCTGATGATGTGGCGGGGTGTGTCCCTGGTTTTGTTGGTGTAAGTGCAATGCCATGAGTCTTCAATTTGTCGCGAGCTCGCTGGAGTTCGCTCTCTTGCTGGTGTAGGCGATCTGTCTGTAGCTGGAGTTTTCGGAGTGCTGTACCTTCGCCTGCGGGTGGTGTGAGGCCTCGTAGGAAGTCAATCATGCGGGAAATGAGTGGTTGCATAAATTGCTTGGCATCTGTCGTTTTGTTTGGAATGGATTGATTAGCTTGTTGGTGTAAAAATTCAGCAATGTTGTCAATGTCCAGGTTGTGGGCTCGTATCTCTGGCAACAATTGTGAGGTGAATACTGCATCTGCGATAGACCTGGTGGTCACGATGCCAGTGGACCGTCCTTGGGAGAAAGTACGAAGGCTGTGGTCTTGTAGGCCAAAGCGACTGAGCTGCCAAGGAAAGATGTCCAAGACAGGCTGTCCTGC